CCCTGGGTGCAAAGTGTAAGCCGTCAGAAGTGCTGCACTAGCCGCATGGTTTTGCTGGTCCACTTTGCGACGTGACTTTCGAAGGTCAGACCGCGATCAAGGTGTACTCCGAGCCATCGGATATCGTCGGATGCTTGTACATCGCGAGTGCCTACCCTTATAGCCAGAAGATCGTGTCCCCTGGATCTGGGGCCGACGAAGTAGATTACTTCGACCTTATCTGGGTCGAAAGAGACGGCATTATCAGCGGCCCACCCTAGGACTGCATCGACTTCTCTCTGAACAGCTACTGCGGCTTCAGTTTGAGTTGAACCTATGCCGAGGATGGCAACATCATCTGCATAGCCAAATCTCTAACTACTGCCTCCCACGACTTCGGCCATGTAGAACAGGAAAAGAATTGGGGAAACAGGCGATCCCTGTGGCAGCCCGCATTCTAGGAATACCGGGTCTGTGACTCCGTCTTCGTGTCGTACGCGAGCGGATCGTTCTTGTAGGAAGGACTTTATCCAGGTGATAGCTAGTTTAGGCCACCCCATCTTGTTCATCCTCTGCAGCAGCCGTCCGTGGAGTACAGCATCGAATGCACCCTGAACGTCCAAAGTGACTAGGACTGCTTTCTTCTGCCGTTTCATTGCATGTTCTACATCGTGGATGACGCATGAGACGAGGTCGTTGGCAGACCTGCCAGTGAGTGCTCCAAAGAGTTGCTGCGGGACTGCCTTGTAGGTGAGGGCGGTGTAAGCCATTCGCCTTGCAATCAGTCTCTCGAGACCTTTACCCAGGGAGGAGAGAAGTGCGATAGGCCTCCATCCTTTAGCTGTACTGAGGTTACGGCTGGGTTTGGGGAGAAGGATTACTTCCGCTAGCTTGAAGGCCTTCGGAAAGTGATTCAATTGCAGTGAGCCCTCAAAGAGTACTCTCACTGCGTGATCAATTGATAGCCAGGCTGTCCTAAAAAGACGAACAGAAATCGCGTCTGCTCCAGGGGCTTTATTTTGGCAGGCTGTTGTAACCCACTTGGCTTTCTCGTCCGTAACGCTCGAGACCCATGGGAGGTTTCCGCGTCCTGGCTCGAAGTCCTCAGCGTCGACGTCGTTCTGACTGGTGAACCGGCCGAGAAGGAGGTCGCGCAACAGAGTTGCTCGCTTTCCTGGACCCGAAACAAGACCATCTGGAGTTTGGAGTGGTGGAGCAGCTGATGTAGGTTGCGGCTTAGCCCAGCGTGCCATCCGATACATGTCGAAGTCAGTTGTTGCTTCGGAGAACTTTCGCTGCCAGTATTTGCATTTCGCACTTCTGACTATGCGACGGAAATCCTTTCTGCTCTCTTCGTCCCTGAATATCCTGTATTCGCGTTTGGCCTGTAGGCACTCCGACGTCCACCAAGGTGCCGTCCTACCCTTCTTAGCACTCCCGCGTCTACCAGTGGCCCTGATTGCGTTGCTAATAGTTTGGACCAGCTTATAGCAAGGTTGTCCACCGCGTCTACTGAAACCATCGGCTGTAGCTCTATTCCTTGAACCCAACGACCTAACACCTTTGCAAAGTCTTCGAGAGCGTCGTCTATCACTCGAAACGGTTGGCCTGTTTTGATAACAGCTCTAGCTTTCGAGTTCGGACGGGGGACGTCTCCTGCAAGAGTTCTGTGGTCCGATGTCGAGTCAAGCTCTATCGAGACGTCTGCAAGGGCTCCCGCGTTAGACCAAACTAGGTCGAGTGTGTTTCCAAGATCGTGAGTCGAGACGCCCGGAGTCGAAGATAGGTCCATGCCGTGCTCGGACATCCTGGGCGAGCACTTGGCCGTCACCGTGTAGTCTGGTGGCCATGGGCTGCCAGTCAGGGTGGACGGCATTGTAATCTCCGCCAACTACTGTGGGCCTAGACAGGGCCCATGAGAGGAGCGGCGAAAGGTCTACTCCAGGAGCGCGATACACAGAGACAAACGTGACTCCTTCAACCTTTACGGCGGTAAGATCTGGTGATGCCTCGCAGATTGCTAGTTGTAGGCACTTGGTCCCTTTTCGCGTATAAATGAGGGAGCGTGGCCTTGCGGGGATGGCTGTGACATGGGGGGGGGCAAGTGCTTGTCGAACCCGGGATGCGACTTGGTGAACCAGAAGCCGTCCTTGTGTTGAGTCCAGGGTTCCTGGATGAGTAGGACATCAATTCCTGAATCCCAGGCGGATTGCAGGATGATGTCTGTAGCGGGGTCTCCTCTGCCCAAATTAGCGCAGAGGAACAAGATCGTTGTTGCCGTTGTGTGTAGCCCGGTAAGGTTGTGGTCCCTTACGGGCATTGAGCATCGTTTGTAGTTTCGTTTTCAGCAGTCGCCTCAGCGGCATTCTGCTTTGCTTCAAACTCTCGGATCGAAGCGTTTCTTTCTTTTTGACCTTGTTCCCGGATCACCGACAGCTGGTCTCTTGTGCGTTGCACAGTTTATCGACATTAAAACTTGTTGTCGATATTGTATATGTAAATCTGTTATCACAGACATTGGAAATAGTTCATGAGATTGCTTAATGAGTGGCTAGATTTGATTCCGATATAATATTGTAGAAGACTTGTCCCAACTATCAGAGGGCTACAACGTCTTTATCTATCTACAGGTAAATTCCCCATATTCCAACCACGCTAGCCATACAGGACGTAGCATATAAAACTTGATTTGTATCATCAGTTTAGGGCTGAGGTTTACTGTGCATATGCTACTCGAGTCGCATGTCTGACTACTATGCGACATGCTTAGGTATCAATCTAACAACCCACACCAAAACCGAAACTACTCACAACCCTGATGATGACCCCATGAATAATTGTAACAGTAGCCTGCAACATAGCGCAATTAGGCTAGACATCGTTGACCAGGACCTAATCCGAACAACAGTCTTTCCGCCGGCCCGCGTCGGCCTGGCCATGCAGCTAGGCTCGGTTGCGGCATGTGGCCCATGGCAATTGATGCACCTTGGGACGAGCTGTTTGCACTCAGTAGCCTTGTGCTCAATCGATCCACAGCGAGAGCAACGCTCTGCTCGTGAACAGATCTTAGTTGGGTGGTGTCCCCAGCATCGGTTGCATTGCGCAATTTTGGCTTTACGCTGAAGTTCGTGTAAGCGACAGCTCTCTTCGAAAAGTCTTTCTCCCAGCTTTGGCTTGCCGGTTGCAAAATGCAACACCCAGTCGGTGGACGGCCTAGCCATGCTTGTCGCAAAGGCACGAGCCGAGGTCGGTCTAACGCCTGTCTTTAAGGTCGCTTCCTCCATTACCATCTCCGATGTTACTGGCGTTGGTCCTTCTAAAGTGAAGAGTCTGTCTGGTACATTAGGCGCGAACACTGAGATCCAGTTGGAAGCAGCTTCCAGTTTCATTTCCGTGCTCTCCATGAGTACGGCGCCTGAGAGGAGCGCGTTTCTTGCTCCGTCTCCTTCAGCTAGTATCGCAAACCCTGGGTTGACGATGGTAACCTGCTTAATTGCAGAGTTAGCTAAGCGCAGCTTGCTTGCGAGGCTCATTTTGATGTAATGAGGAGACATGCGTCTCCATGGGTGGTCGGGCTTGACCCGCAGGAAAACACGCTCGTCTGGGCGAGCTAACTTGGGAGCTGAGGCAGTAGGCCTCGGAGTTTGTGTGGGCCCTGTCGCTTTTGACACAGGCTCGCTGGCTGGTTGCGATTTTGTCACTGCTGGTGGTGCGGGCTTAGTCTTTTTCCTCACTACCTGAGTCCAAGACCCCTCAGTAACGATGGGGGTTTGTATAGAATCGATGTCGATTGGCCTAGTAGGCTTTGTCGAAGCCGGCTCTTTGCCTTTCGCCTGGCTGCTTTCTCTCGTGAGTATTTGCACTGGTCGTGAAGTGCTCGCGCTATTCTTTCCTCCCGGCCTAGTAGCCGACGCAGGGAGGGTTGTCGTCTTGCTGCTACTGGCAGCCTCTGATGGCCCACTGGATTGGGGCTCGGGGTTTCCGCGCAGGATGTTTGTGATAATGGCCTGTAAAGCCTCTCCATTCTTTTCGACAGCTCGTCGGAGCTGTTTGTCGGTTGTGGCCGCCAGTAGGTTAATGTACCCACTGACGATACGCTCAGCCTCTGCAAAGCGTATGTTAAACGCCCTCGCTTCGTCTGCGAGGAAGTAAGTCAAGGAAGCACCCATTGACTCGGGGGGGTTTGGGGGCGAGTATTGACAGCTCGCCTCGCAGATCGGTTCTGCATTTGCTTGTGTTTTGTTGTAGTGGTGGTTAGATGGCCCTGTGAGGACCATTTCGACGTCAGGACGCGTCGAATTTACGGGCGGGAGGGGGACCGAGAGCCAGCCTCTGCGGAGGACTGGGGCGGCATGGCAAGGAGCAAATCAGAGAAGGTTGAACAGTAGATAATCGCGTGTCTAGCGCGTGATTGAGGAGTGTTCTACGATGCGCTGCATATACAGCGGGTTTCAGTAAATTGAGAGTTGTGTGATTTAATAAACTGTATATGGCGGACAGCTGGTCGGACTCTTTTGATCGGTTTATAGGTAGAGAGGTCCTACCAATCTTGAACAGGCCTAGACTAAAATAGGAAAATAATATAGCAAATTAAAATCGATCAGACCGCATGGGGATCAAAATTAGTCCAAGTCTGAACAGTTGAGTTTGCAATGCTACTATATCAAATTAGATCAATTCAATGTAATTTTATTTCATGAGCACAAATAGATAGATCAATAGGATTTTTTCCGTGACGGGCATGATTCTAGCACTCATACAACATAACATTGAGAAGGCTAGTCTTTCCCTGACGACTATGCTCGAGGATAAATCAGTTTGATATGTGGACAACTTATTCATTGAGTGCATTCTCTATTAACACTTACTTCGTGTGCACAATTGTTCTCTTAATTTTTGCGATTGTATGGGTAGTTGACACCTCTGGTTTACAACCGAGAACTTTCCATCCAATCCGTCCGGTATTTGTTCATGCACCTTAAACGTACGTTTCAGGCAATAACATCTCAACGGAGCCCATCATGCTGCGCGCTTCTTCAAGGCCTGCGTTAAGCAAAATAATCCCTCGCCTTTCTGGTGTTGATGGTGCTGCTCGCAAATGCCGCACTTCTCAAGCCAGTGGGATTGGAGCAATAATAAATGTATGACCACTGACTGTTGCATTAAATAAAACTTTGAGGAGTTAAGACGTGCTAACTACAATTATCTTTAACAGAAAAGCTTTGCTAGTCAATCAAAGCTGCCTCCGCAGAAATCCGAACCTAAAGTGCGTCCTGATCCGACAAGCTTCAGCCCTCAACCAACAATCACCTCTGAGAGACTCGCAAAGACAGAGACTCTCGACTTTAAATCTTCAGCACTACCTACAAGAAATGAATCGTCACCCAATGCCTTGCCTAACCCTCAACCAGCTATCCCAGCTACCACCAAGCGAAGGTTTCTGCCAAAGTTCATAACATCAATATTATTACTTGGGGTACTTGCGTATGGGGGCGGAATCTATTACACCAAATTCAATGACAATTTCTACGACTTTTTTACCGAATATGTCCCATTCGGAGAGGAAGCAGTACTTTACTTTGAGGAAAAAAACCCTCAAAAAAGAAACACTGATCACTCAGGATTAAAATCAAACATGGTAGAAGGAGACATGATTAGATTCCCTAGCCAGAGTGGTGTTTCATGGAGGTTGGCAGATGCACAAGATTTGGGGTCAACTGGACGGCATGCAAATGCCACATCATCGTACGCGAAACAAACTGAACCTCAAATAGAAAAAGAAGTATCCAACAACCCAACCTCCAGAGAAAATTCGAGCCAAAACACAGCTTCAACAAACAAATCTTCAAACTCAAATCATTCAGAAACCAACGAGAAGCTTCCAGCCCTAGCAAAACCACATGATATTGCCGACACTTATACCACCAGGATCGAACCCTCACCAAAATCTCCTCTCGAGATAGAATTTATAGACCCTATAAACATAGAAAATGCAAATGAGCCACTAGTTCAAGACCTCGTTAGGATAATAAACAATGTTATCACCGTCGTTAATGCAGACAAATCTGGTGTAAAATTCTCCAGCACCATCGAGAAAGCCAAAAAAGAGCTGTCGCAAGTAGGCTCTCGCATTAGAGCTATCAAAAATGAAGCCATGTCAGACGCTGAATCCAAGATCCAAACTGAAAAGGAGGATTTCGATCGAGCAGCTAAGGAGCTTGTTAGACGAATTGAAGCTGAAATGAAATTACAGCAATCTAACTGGCAAGAAGAATATCAAGCTGAACGTCAAATTATACAGGAAACCTACGAAAAAAAGCTCAATGTAGAAATGCAACGCGCAAATGAGCTAAATCAGCAACGATTACAGAATGCACTCTTAGAACAGGCCCTCGAAATGAAGAAGCAGTTTACTCAGGAGATTAAAGATCGTGTAGAAGAGGAGCGCAACCGACGTTTAGGAAAGCTTACAGATCTTTCCAAAACTGTTAATGACCTTGAAAAACTAACTACCGACTGGAATTCGGTTGTAGATTTTAATCTCAAAACACAACAACTTCACGTTGCTGTTGAAGCAGTACGTACATCGCTGGAGAATAGTGATGAGCCTCGCCCTTTTGTTCGCGAACTCTTGGCGCTTCGTGAGATTGCCTCGGAAGATCCAGTTGTTAACGCTGCTATAACATCTATCAACCCTATCGCATACCAGAGTGGAATTCCCTCTCCATCTCAACTTATTGATCGCTTCCGACGTGTTGCTTTCCAGGTCCGTAAAGCAGCTCTATTACCCGAGGATGCAGGTGTTGCAAGTCATGCGAGTAGCTTAATTCTTAGTAAACTCATGTTCAAGAAAAAAGGCCTCACCTCCGGAGATGATGTTGAGAGCGTGCTTACACGGGCCGAGTTTTTCCTCGAAGGAGGTGACTTAGATTCTGCCGCAAGAGAAGTTAATGGTCTTAAGGGCTGGGGAAAAACTCTAAGTCGCGACTGGCTTGATGAAGTGCGTAGGGTTTTAGAAGTGCGGCAAGCCCTCGATGTAAGTGAAACCACAGGCTGAATTCTTGCCTGATATATTGTGAATACAGCGCTAACAAAGCTCAGGTCATTGCGACAGAGGCAAGGTTAAAGAGCTTAATTGTAGATTAAAATCACTTTTATTTGTAGAGACGCGACCGAGCTACTAATTTGACTCATGTAAAAACTAATCCGCGAAATTTACCTCTTTTATCTTTCCTTGCCTTACGCCTCTGTTAGGCCATGTACAATTAAATTTTTAGGCTAGGTAGAACGCCACTTTCTGGGTAAAAATTTTCCTTTTTTAATATAATCTTACTCCGAAATAGGACTGATTCTTAACGAATTTACTTGAGAAAGTTCTTGTTTTTTCCTTTGCATCAATGCTACTTAAGCTTGGACTCATAAGCGGTAGTGGCCAATAGCACGTCTAATTTTCAACAATATTGTTATTTTTTTTGTAAGACCCCCTTGAACACCGTAGAAACTAGGAACGGTCTCGTCTAAAAAATCAACTAGACGCCTCTGTTAATCCATAGTTTTTTGCAACGTGAATTACAAAACTTTTATGGCGATTGGCTCTTATTTAGTGCGCGTCTAAACTTGGTGTAGAAGCCTGGACACCCTCTGGCACTACAACTAACGATAAATCACCGGTATCGTTATACTTTTAGCAGATTTTGAACTTCTCTTAATTATCTATCTTCTGGTCTACTCATAATAAAAAAACGAGAGTATAAAGCAATGTAGCATCCCAATCTTTGGACGAACGCACCCTGTTCTACTACCAGAAGAGGTCAGGTCTATTTTGGAGACGGGTCCCAAAAAGCTTAACACCGCTCCTCGTGACCTTTCATTCCAACAACAATCTCTCAAGACTTCTGCGTTATATCGAGGAACATAAGAATACTCTGATGTTGTCACAGGCTGGTAATTCCTATTTTTCCAAATGCGAGGGTCAAAACTCATGAGATTATCTTAATTTACCGATTACATAAGGAATTGAAGGCTGAAAGAGAAAAATCAGAGTCTTGTATCATATTCTTTGGAATGTTGAGTGGCAAGAAGTTGCTACTTCCTGTATCAAGCTAGTTACTTGCGCGATAGGCCAAACTTGATGTAGCATGAACCATTTGGCACTTCATTTTATAGCCCTTAGTTAATTTGAGTATAAGAGGGTGTAACGGCTAGTGAGCCGATAATTGTCCCGTATCACGTGATGTTAATCACGTGCCTCAACAATTCTGTGAAAGGCGAAACTTCACTCTAGTTTATTCTGAACATGACTAGAGGATTCTAGCAACTGGCATTGAGACTGTGAACTGGTATCGGGGAAGCATAATAGAGGCTAGTATCAGACAGGAAGGAATATTCTAGATAGCCTAATAAGTGTATAAATAGTTGAGTTAGGACACACATATTGTGGTATAGAAAATAATAAACAACCTTCGTATATTTGATTGCCCCAGCATCTATACCTCGAACTGTGACAGAGGGTTCCACAATGAAGTGATGTACTCCAAAAGAGACATGTGTTGTGTTCTTTAGAGCTATAGGTTACCTCAATTGTGTGGAGCACCCCTATTAGGGCCATCCCTTGAGCCAAGGGCTGAGTGAGCTCTTATGACACGTCTCATCATCAACATCTTCTCGTCAAACTCCCCTAGTAAAGCGTGCATCTCTTCTTCACAATTTGATGATGTCTCGACCTTCGGAATTTTTCCACCGTAGCCACCAAATCCTACACCTGCTAGCATACCATGCGAGATGGTGTCACCGCCGGCATCTTCACTATTTGTGATACCCTCAATTTTCAGCATCATATTGCTAAGAATATCGTCGGGGCTTCCTGCTTTGGCCTCATCCGTTCCATTCCAGGTAGGGGCCCTTTCAATGTGGGCATCAAGAACTTGCCATTTTGAACTCAAGCTACTCACACCCACAACACCCGTCCCACTGGCGTTCACGTCAACAATTACAACCTGCCCCACTCCAGATTCTAACGAGTCTAACTCTTTCCCTGTTTTTAGGCCATAAACATCAAGCGAGGCGGTATTAGAGCTGCCCGACGACATTTCACTTTCAGGCTCTATCTCGTGACTCGAGCTTTCTAAATCAGTCGGCGATGAGGCAGGCATTGGCACTTCTTGGTTCAATGATCGTAAAAGAACAGAGGTAAGTACCTCACTAGCTTCATCGTCGCTAAAAAGATAATGAACTTGCCTTGGATGCACAGTAGTTTCGCCGGTGCTGATGAGGGTGAAGAATGGAGCAAATAGAGGCCGTTCGATAGGTACATTCTCTCGAGTTTCTTTCGCGCTAAGTTCCGGGTGCAAGGCATTGTTTAGAGAGCCTGTTGGAGCTGATTGTATTTTGGGTGATTGAGTGTGAGATAAGGTTGCTTCAGCGCAAGGACCTTTTGTACCGACTCCAGCAGGTGATGTGGAGGTTGGGCCATTATCGGTTGAAGGTTGGATCTCATCGCCCACAGAATTCAACTTCGTCGGGAGTTCTGGGTGAGTAAGATGAGTGTTCAACGCTAAAGAGGGAGATGGGTTCCGGGCCTGAGTTGATTCCAGAGTCACTCGATCATTGCATTTCGATGAAGATCTCGATTCAGCAGTATCGAACTCCGACATAGGTGCAAAGTGATAATTGTTTGCGAAGCTACTTTTTCTGCTTAAAATGAGTTTGGAAAATCATTCCATCATCGATACTACGAGCGGAAGCTGGTCTTTGTCATGGGCAATTTCTGAGGTGATTACCAGCATGATAGGCTTATCCTCTGGCTTGGTCAGACAAGGCTGTGGCTGAATAATGCCAGATTTTCTGTCACCCATAGCGTACTTACACACCTTGCCTTGACATATAATAAATGTTATTCGTAAATGCTAGATGTTATTTTTGAATTTATAGACATTGATGCTCTGGGGTGCTTTCGCAAATATTACAGTGAGGTGTTTTTGCTTCTAGAGAATAGTCGATGCTCCTCTGTGAGTACTCATCTAGGAAAGTTTCGGACCTTTGGCTGTACAAAAGTGTCTCCGACGTTCACACACGAATACCGCGATAAAAGTGACTGAGTTATGCTGGGTTTGAAGAAGCGGTCTTCCGTCTCAAGTGGGATTCGTGCGCAAGCTATACAGAATCTACTTAGAAGATCGGTCAAGACAATATACCACCGCACGTTCCAACAACAGCGGTATTTATTGTGTCGCCTGCAGTCTCGCACTCCAAGGCACGTCGTACACAAAGCTGTTTAGTTTGTTAAACTTTCTACCATGATTCCAAACCAGAACCCTTTCGAGATTTTATCCACTGTTTCAATCATCTTGTCCAGCTGTTTCGATCTCTCTCGCGTCCATCCCAAAACCCTGCCTTATGCATCACGATTTGTCTCCCACGGCAGGTTCTCATATTCTTATGGGCGAGTATGAAGAAGACATTTGTAGCCAGAGATTAATTTGACAAGAAGTCTGGTTTTTAAAGTAAGGAAGTACTAGGTCGTACTTACTGACTTCATGAGACTTTGGTGGGAATGAGAGATTGATTTGGTGGAGAGACTTGAATCACGACCTCGTGGGCCAACTTCTTCGGTACTGCGAAATTTGGCTGAACTTGGCTACGAGAGAAGATTTCACTCCAAGGCTCATAGAGGACACGGTGGACAGACGTTCGGTCTCTATCTCCTCAGGGATTAGATATTTTAGTATTGTAATTGCTTAGCAGCAGAAGTAAACCATTATTCATTCCTGCATTCGCGCATACATTTTGTTGATTCATGTGACATACACGCTGAACCCTCTCCAAGTTTTAGACTAGATACATTATTCCAGCAGATGTCCTCGTTTGTGTGCGGATGAAAGCTTTTACACCAAAAGCTTGATAGATATATCCAAAAGAAAAATTTACGAGTTTATGTCATCCATTAAACTGGTAGGGCTTCGCAGTAAAGGAGACTGATCTCTACGGGAAATTGCTTTGCTAAATGGCTATCTATCATGGGAGGGCTTGTCCCTCACTGTCCATGAGAGCAAAGCGTAAAGTTAAACAATTGAAACTTAAAACGTGGAGCTAGTATCTTATTTGTAGATTCTAGGAGTCTTCCACAGTCATTGACTCAGTTAGGACTATAATACAAATCTAATCTAATCTATCTATCTAGGCATCATGTCCGAGACCACTTTCCCTAACAAAAGAAAGTGGAAGCGGGGAACGAAGACTAGACCCTTATCAGCCACGTCCTAAACGGACTGGGTAGTGAAATATACACTACGAGCCAAGTTCAGTCAATTTTATAGCATCGAACAAGTTAATACGGGATAGACCCCTGATGTTGGTATTAGCTGCACCAGCACCGAATCAGGCGATGTTTCATACTAATTATTATTATCATTTTGAAATTGATTTCATTATCTTGATTTGGGAGTCTATGGGCCTGTGCAGGTGGCTATAAACCTATCTATGAATTTACATAATATGAAATCTCTTGGTGAAAACCTCCCCAGCTTTTTGATTTTTTTCTTTGAACTTTGCAATTTCTTCTTCAGAAGCACAATTACACCGTGATACCGTCCATTTAGACTAATCTTGTGTCCGCCCTATCTCGTCCTCTAAGTAGTATTTCCACTATACTTGTCATGTGGAATTGTTCTATCCAACCATGACTATTGATCCATTGCATGTTTCTTTTAATGTTGCCAGGATTGTTTATCATCGCTTCGGAGTAGCGTTTTCGGGCTTTCCTCTAGATCTCTTCTCTACCGATTGACCACCTTGAGCTGGACATGATCATATGCTTGGAATTCTGTGATTGGTAGCCACACGGACAAAATGGATGATAGACTCCTGATACTTCTCATGAATGTATAAGAATCAAGCTCGATGTGCTCACCTCGAATTTGGATTGCTAGGCTACTTTAGGTCTTTGTGTAGTTTAGTTGAGGTAAAATAAAGATTTCCAGAAGCTTATTTTGTATCGTCCAGAATTTTGGCATTAGTAGAACTTAGCTGCTCTCCGAGTTTCAGGATTTGCTGTAGCAAGTTTTTGAGGCCGTCGACTTTGCTTCTTGGTAGACCAAGATTCTGCTCATTCTAGGTACGCTACAACCTTTACTACTTATTTCCGTAAGTCCTTGGATTGCTCCTTTCCGCAAATCTCTCTCCAGTAGGCAAGGTCTGCTCTTCTATTATGTGTTCGGACATCTTCTATACCTATTATGGGCAGCTTTATCTTACTACATGCAGATTGTATGGTCTTTTGGACAGGTAAGTAATTTGAACGGCCTAAATGTTGAACCCTTTGTTCCTTCAAGTAGATTTTAATCGGATGGATAGCAGCTTCATGTTCAAACACCCTGTTGCTAGTCGATTTATATGCCCCTGTGGCTAATTTTAATCAATTTCTTTGAGAGCTTCAAATAGGTTTTTAATATTCTCCCGGATATTTTACCAATATTAATTATTGTTGATTTTCAGAAGCACAAACTGTAAACCGACAATTCTATCCGCATGTAGCAAAATATCGCAGACTTATAGCCTGAGCTAAAATAGCCACGCTAGTAATCGAAGCCGGGATACAAACGAGTGGACCAAAATCTGCAGCAACGAAAAGGTTAGGTATGGACAAAAAGAAGCGGATAAGATAGCAGTATTCCAGGAGTGGTAAAGCACATGGAAGCTTTTCAAGGATGAGCGACTATCTTCTCATCAGGCGTCGTCAGAACCAGAATATTGGAAAGAAGCAAGTATCGTCATCGACAAGAGAACAGGCAGAAAAAGAATCACCTACAGAACTTCTATTATCTACCGAAACCTGAGCAGGACCCAAAGCATTATTGCAATACAGATGAAAAGTGAGCATATCGGCCTCCACTCTTATTTACACAGAATAAAGTCGCGAGAGTGGCAAATCCAAAATGCCAATGTGGATATCCGTCACAAAACGTGAAATAAATGGTCCTGACTTGTCTTCAGTGGGCTAAGGGAAGGGTAGAAGTATTGCGACAGGCAAAAGATAGGTCTTTTAAAGCTATGATGAACAGCCCGGATGACATGAAGAGAATTACAGAGTGGGTACTTTGTAACGGTTGGATTGAACAGTCCTAGCTTGCAGAAGAAGTTGAGATAGCAGTCAATGAAAGAACGACGGGATCAGGAAAAGGATAGGACGGAATCCACACTGAATGAACAGTGTAAACGCACATCCTGTAGAACACCTCAGATAACAAATAGATACGAGAGAGACAGTCTTAGGGGGTTTTTACCGAGTTGGTTTCCTCCCATGTAAATATTAAAGCTAGATATACCTGCGTGGGATCATGGGTCGCCAAGTTAGATAAATAAAGTCAAATCAAAAAAATATTATTATTTATTTTATTGTTGATTTGATTTGATTTCATTTAGCCCGTTCAGGTACCCTATGGGCCCATGCAGGAATATCTAGCTATAATATTTACACAGGAGGAAACCATATTTGGTAAAAACCCCCCACAACTGTCTGCCTCGTGTCTATATGATTTCCGATGTTTCCTACAGGAAGTGCGCTTACACTGTGCGTCCAGTGTGAATGTCGTCCTATCCTTTTCCCGATCGCTCAATCCTTTCGCTGACTGCTGTCTCAACTTCTTCTGCAAGCCGGAACTGTTCAAGCCAGCCGTTTTTAAGTATCCAATCTGTAATTCTCTTCATGTCTTCCGGGCTGTTCATCATAGCTTCGAAAGACCTATCTTTTGCCCGTTGCAGCACCTCTCCTCTTCCCTTAGCCCACTGAGGACAAGCCATGACCATATGTTTTACGTTTTGTGACGGATATCCACACTGGCACTTTGGATTTGCCACTCCAGGGACCTTTCTTCTATAAAGATAAGAGTTGAGGCCGATATGCTCACTTCTTATTTGTATTGCAATACTACTTTGACCCTGCTCAGGTTTCGGTGGATGTTAGAGGGTGTATTTCTGTAGGTGATTCTTTTTCTACCTGTTCTCTTGTCGGTGCTTATACTTGCAGCTGTCCAATGTTCTGGGTCTGCTGACGCCTGGTGAGAAGATAGTCGTTCTTCCTTAAAAGTATTCCATGCGGTTTCCCAGTCCTGGAACGCTCCTATCTTGCCCGCTTCTTTTTGTCTACGCCTCACTTTTTCGTTCCCGCAGATTTTATTCCACTCGCTAGTGTCTCGGCTTCGATTTTTTGCGTGGCTATTTTCGCTCAGGCTATAAGCCTGTGATATATTACTACATGCAGATAGAACCGTCTGCTTGATGGGTTGTCTTTCCGAAAGTCCGATATGTTGAACTCTCATTTGTTTGAGGTAGATGTCAAGTGGAAGGATTGAGCATTCGTGGTCTAGAGCCCTACTGCTGGTGGAATTATATGCCCCTGTGACAAGCTTCAAGCATTTTTGTTGGATACTTCGCAATGGTTTAACAATCCTTTCTGGTATTCTACCTGTTGGCCCAGCCGCAGCCCATATTGGACACCCGTAAGTCAGGGCTGGTCTCACAATTGCGTTGTACAAAAGCTTTGATTTCTTGAATGTTGCACCCCAAGTTGATTGCGTTAATCTACTTATCGCCTGTACTTGGGTGTGTGACTTTTGTACAATATGCTTTATGTGGGAGCCCCATTGAAGCTTGGGGT